CGCAGGTCTCCACGGCAGAGGTGACGGATGCCGCCAGCTACATGTGCGTGGCTGAGAACCAGGCGGGCTCCACCGAGAAGCTCTTTACCCTCAGGGTCCAAGGTGAGCGGGGCTGAACGGGCAGCCTCTGTGGGCTCCTCATCCCTCCTGAGGGCTCCAGCTGGTGCTCCCAGTGTCCTGGGGGTCGCACTCAGAGTGCAGGGGTCCCAGTCTGGCACCAGCCATACCCAGAGCCAGAGTGCATGTGGGAGCCTGATCACCGGTGTGTCAACCCCAGCTGGTTATATGCAGCTTCAGAGGGGGCCAAGCAACTTCCGGGGCCTTGCAGCACCTTTGCTGAGCACCCCTGTGTACCTGGTGTGGGCCAAGTGCCTTCCTGGGCTGACTGCTCCTTGCAGAGCTGGGGGTCATCCCAGCCTACAGCTGTGAGAATACTGTAAGGAGGTCGCTCTGGTGGGGTCTCCCCCTGGGGGCCACATCCTGACCTCTGCATTCTCATGTGGGCTGCACCTCCATGGCCGTGAGCTCCACCCCCAGCTGTGGCCTCGGGCCGGAGGGTGACAGTCTGGAGCACGCAAGGCCATGGACTCAACCCAAATTGGTATTTTGCTCCATCGCTGACTGCTATGGAGAAGTGACTCCCTCTCTGATCTGCAAGCCCCACTGCAGATTTCTGTGCGGGGTTTTTGAGGATGCATGGGCGCAGAACCGGGAGCTCGGCGGAGCTCTGCCCTGCCTTCTCACAGCTTTATTTTTCCTTGGGGCCGCGGCCAGTCCCACCACGAATCGTAGGCCTGAACTCGGAGCAGGTCACGGCCATCCTCAACAGCAGCATCTCCCTCCCGTGCGATGTCCGAGCCCACCCAAGCCCTGAGGTCACGTGGTACAAGGATGGCCAGGCCCTCTCTCTGGGTGGCGAGATCTTCCTCCTACCTGGTGGGTAAACCGAGGCTTCAGGCCCAGCTCTGAGGGTGCTTCGGGAGAGAGCTCCTTCTCCAAACCTGGGCGGGGCTGTGAGTCCGGGAGGAGCTTAGGAGTGGGGGCGTGGGCGTGGGGGTGGGCCAGGTTGCTGGTGCGAGGGGCTGTCCCCCCACAGGCACCCACACATTGCAGCTGGCACGAGTACAGCCTTCGGACTCAGGGACGTACATGTGCGAGGCCCTCAATGCTGCCGGCCGGGACCAGAAGCTGGTGCAGCTCAGCGTGCTGGGTACGTCGGTGCCTGTCCCCACCACACCTTCCCACCTCCCTCAGTTGGCCCACAGGCCACAGCCCTCGGGCAGAACAGGAAGGAGAGGGCAGCCAGCCTGAGGCTCCTGCACCCACCAGCTCCCCAGCTTGGATGAAAGCGACTGAGCTGGGGATCAGCGGGACAATCCCCAAGAGCTTGGCGGGAAGGGCCCTCCCCGGGCCTGTTGGCTTGCAAGGTTCTCAGCAGCATGGAGCCTATGGCTAGCAGTTCTGTGGCTAGTGGTCCGTGGTCTTGGTCTTTGGAATCCTCATGGGGAAAGCTGGTCCAGGGTGCCATGAACCGAATCTGGCCGGAAGTTCTTTCCAGCCCTGGGGCCAGCTCACTCATTCGTGTGTGGCCACCTTGTTGGGTCCTGGCCGCTCGCGGCCTTGGGTGGGGCTTCCACTCTGGTTTGCTGGAGCCGCTATGCGGCCCTGTGGGG